CGAGGCACCGAGTAAATAGCCATGAAAAGCTCTAGCAAACGCCAAAATGGCTTAGAAAAGGCTCCTTGGGTCCTCATCCCCCGGCACTTGCTTGGGTTCTGGAAGCTCACTTTGCCTGACACACCAAACCCTTCCTAGCCTAACCTTGAGTTACGGCCTGCAAACAGAGCAGCAAGCATCGGCGAATGAAGACAATCGACTAAACAAACCCTGTAGTCACACCCAAGCGCGTGCGCTTTCGCCTGACACACCCAAGACCCTTCCTGCACAGTCTTGTCTGAGCCTAAAGCCTAAAGCCTAAACCCTAAACCCTAAACCCTAAACCCTAAACCCTAAACCCCAAACCCTAAACCCTAAACCCTAAACCCCTAAACCCCTAAACCCTAACCCCCCACCCTAATCCCTAAACCCCGGAGCCTCCTCGAGTGAACCATCCTTCAAGGATTCCAGGAGCCGCTTCTCCAGCCTCTGGCGCACGGCCTCCTCACCTGAAGGGGAGGGGGTTTAGGGTTTAGGGCTTCGGGTTTAAGGTTTAGGGGTTATATAGGGGTTACTTAGGGTTTAGGGTTTAGGGTTTAGGGTTTAGGGTTTTTTCTTGGCACCCGGCTGGCCACAGCACTGCGGGGTTTCATGGTCGGTCTCGGAGAAAGAAGAATCACCCCTGCCCTAACCGGGGATATCGCCCTGAGGCATTCGGATGAGGACATACCCGGAATCGTGTACTACGCCAACTGCCCTCCCCCAGTTCCCAGTACCCAAACAGGGACAATAAAAACACTACAGGTAAGTCAAACCAACACATAACCAGTTCCGGGGGTCACAGGGAGGTGTTGAGGTGCTTCACTCCATGGCAAGGCTTGATGAAGAAAAGAGAAGCTCCAAGCTAACCCCTGTCTATCCCAACAAAAAGTGCCCAGCATCGAGCCTTACCATATGCCATGGCTTCACAAATGGCCATGTAAGTGCAGGCATGAGCAAGTGTGCTCACGGGGATGCAGTCAGGTCGGTGCGGGACCATATGACGTTGGCGAGACCCTTCCAAAAGGCAACGGGCTTAGGACTTCGGGTTGAGGGTGTAGGGTGTAGGGTTTAGGGTTAAGGGTTTAGGGTTTAGGGTTCAGGGTTTGAGAAGCTAAGCCCTAAAAGCTCACCAACGAGCCGTTGAGGCGAGGGTCGGGCATGGGCCCCTTAACCAAATCCCATAAGACCTAACCTTCGTGTACGAAGGGGGTAGTATAAGCCCTAAGCCCTAAACCCTAAACCCTAAACCTTAAACCCTAAACCCTAAACCCTAAACTACCCTGAACCCTGAACCCTGAAACATAAACCCTAAACCCTAAACCCCAAACCGTAAACAGCCATGCCTGGGTCACCCGCGACGGACTTCAGCGCCTGGCCAAGTCGGCCGCAAAGGATGCGACCACGGAGATTACTGGGGGTCTTAGGGTTTAGGGTTTCGGGTTTAGGGTTTAGGGTTTAGGGTTGGTGTAGGGTTACGTTTTAGGCGGTCTGTGCTAAGGGTTTCAGGATTATTGAAAGTCTTGCAGCAGGAGGGCTACGGTTTGGCTTCAGTGTGTCGGCTTGGTTTAGGCTCGGTGTCAAGCGAAGAGCCTAGCGAACCAGCTAGGTTCATGCAGCTATTTGCTACTAACTGCTTAAGAACCCAGAAAAAATAACAATATTCTTGCTTAGTAAGGGTAATAAAGGGATGATTATTTTCGTATTCTTTTGGGGTTCTTAAGCAAATAGTAGTTTGGAGCTATGGCAGAACTTCGAACTTCCCGATACCATGGGAAGAAGGCTACGGCGGAGAACTACTCCTTGGAAGCCAGGCCATCAATTCTAGGGTTTAGGGTTTAGGGTTTAGGGTTTAGGGTTTAGGGTTTAGGGTTTAGGGTTTAGGGTTTAGGGTTTAGGGTTCAGGGTTTAGGGTTTAGGGTTTAGGGTTTAGGGACCCTCAACCCTAAACCCTAAAATGGCACTGACTACACTGGCCACCTCTTCCAGGGAGCCGTCGTCCAAAGCAGTGAGGAAACTGGTCTTGATCCTGGAGTGGCCAGGACTGCATCCTACACTGGTTCAGGGGGGGTAAGGAGGGACCCTAGAAGGGACCTTGAATCTTATTCCCCTGTATAACCCCTACCTATATATATATATATATACCCCTACATAACCCCTAAGGTCCCTTACAAGGTAAGGGGGGGAGTGCACCATACAAGGTACAAGGGCCCAAAGGGCCCCATGCACTAAAGACAAGGTCGTGAGAGCGGATGGGCTGTTGACTGTCGGCCTGTGCGAGCGTTGTGCGCAAGTCCGTGCGCTTACTGGCTGCGATCGGCTCCGCAGAAAGCGTCTACAAGGCTCTACAAGGCTCTTTTGCTGGGAACCCGAGTCCCTATGACGCTAAACATTAAACCGATTTTGAACCCGGACTCAGAGTATCAGCTGGGACCACCACCACCCCCCCCCCTAACTCTAAAACCCGAAACCCTAACCTCAAAGCCTTGAAAAAGTAATATGGGTCGGAATCATTACGAATCGTATTCCGTCATAGTCCCTTTAAACAGGACGAGAATATCCGAAACACCCTAAACCCTAAACCCTAAACCCTATGTTACTTCTTAAGGTCCCTACATTACTTTGGGATCTCAGGGCTCGAAGCGTGCCTCTGCTTGAGCGCTGCTTCACCTTCCAACAAAGGTAATTCGGGCCGGGGAAAAGAAGGTTTAGGGTTTAGGGTTTAGGGTTTAGGGTTTAGGGTTTAGGGTTTAGGGTTTAGGGTTTAGGCTTTAGGGTTTAGGGTTTAGGGTTTCGGGTTTAGGGTTTAGGGTTTAGGGTTTAGGGTTTAGGGTCTAGGAAGGCAACCCGAAAGCCTAACCCCTAACCCTACCCCTGCTCCAGGAAGTCGCGATGTGGGTTTCCCCTGAAACCCGTTTTGCATCCAGGCCTCTACCAGGTTCCTGGGAAAGTTGCTAACTCCCTAAACCCCAAAACCTGATACCCTAAAACCCTGAATCCCTAAACCCTTTTTGCTAACCCCTAAACCCTGAACCCTAAACCCTAAACCCAGGGTTTAGGGGTTTCAGGGTTTACTCTCTCGCACACGGCAGGCCAGGCTTAATAGGTCTAGCCGAGAGCCTCGTTGAGCGTTTAGGGTTTCAGGGCTGATCTGAGGGCAGTTACATGGTCCCTGAATATATATATATATATATATATGTATGTATGTATGTATGTCTGTATGTATATATGTATATATACATATATATATATACATACATATATATATATATATGGGCAACTTTATGGGGACCCCTTTGTATACCCTACAAAATCCCAAGGGCCCATACTGCGGAACCTTTGTTTGAAGAAGGTAAGGCGCCATGCAGCTACTCTTTGAGGGCTTAGGGCATTGCTTTGCTATAGGGGCCTTCATGAGTAGAACAGGGTTTCTTTGAGAGGGAGGGTGGGGGGGGAGGGGGGGTTATGATAATGTAATCAAGGAGGGGCCAAAAGGGAATACCATTCGCAACTATTCATTAATAGGGTGTGGCGGGGGGGGGTTCTTATAGCATACTTATGGAGGGGGCAGTGCGGGCAATACCATGAGTATTTTTCCGACCCCCTTTTAAAGTGCATCCCTGGCCCTCGCGGCCTTCGGCGTGCGGCGCCTGGGCGTGTGTTTCGGGTTGAGGGTTTCGGGTTTAAGGTTTAGGGTTTGGGATCCCTTCTTGAGGTTTCGGGTTTAGGGTTTCTTCTCCTGATTTTTGCTTCATGTTCGGGGTCTCTTCCTCTGTCTCGCACTCTCGACTCGCAACCCTGGGCACACTAGCAGTGCGGTGAGCTTTCAGGGACCTCCAGCCCCGCCACGACAGCCGCATGACCCCGAGCCCAGGCCCTGAACGCCATTGAGCACCTGAAAGGGTTTAGGGCTCAGGGCTTACTAGGGTTTACGCATTAGGTCCACCATCACGCGCCCCCCCAGTCGAAGAAGCAGAGATGGGCGAGAATACGTATGTATGACAAGAAGACGAATAAGTAGCAGAGATAGGAACCCCAACATACTATAAAGCCCTTTAGGAGCCCCAACACACGAGAATCTTTTCTTACAAGGGGAAGAAGGAGAGGAGCCTCCTCCACTTTCGGCGCCGCGGGCGCTGGCTTTCTCAAGAACTCTCAGCCTGCTCACACTATCTGCAGAGACATTGTCCTGCGAAACCGCGGCCGGAGGGCTGGGCGGCCAGAGGCAGGGCTGGAAGGCCAGCGGGACGGAGGGCTGGAGGGAGGTCTGAAGGTCAGGGTTAAATAAGACATGTAATCAAGACGCCCTAACAAAAACAAGACGCACAAGCAGAAGAAGAAGAAGAAGAAGAAGAAGACGAATAAGTAGCAGAGATAGGAACCCCAACATACTATAAAGCCCTTTAGGAGCCCCAACACACGAGAATCTTTCTTACAAGGGGAAGAAGAAGAGGAGCCTCCTCCACTTTCGGCTCAGCTGGCGCTGGCTTTCTCAAGAACTCTTCGAAGTCCGAGTCGTAATCGTACGTCGCCTGTTTTGGGGTTTTGGGCTCTGGGAACCTTGGGGATTTGGGGGTGTCCGAGAATAGGGGAAGGGCTCCTCTAGAAGGATTCTGCTATATTCCCCCAGAGGCGGGGACCCCTTCTTTGGGAAAATACCCGTTTTGTTCCCGACATATACTGTACTTTTTGGTGGCGTGCCCCAAGAGGGGCCCTCGTTACCATCACCAGGCTCAAAGCCCAAAAGGCTGTTGAAGCAGAGCTACAGGCAACCCGAAATTCCCCCCGAAGCCTCCCGCTCGGCTCCTTCAAACCCCTCTTGCTCCTTCAAACCCTAAACCCTAAGCCTAAACCCCAGACCCTTTTTTAAACCACGGGCGAGAGAGAAGCAAAGAGACATGCAGGTTCAGCTAGCAAACCCTTTTTGAACTCAGGCTCTGAGCATCAGCTGAGACCACCAAGCACTGCATAGCAAACAGTAGCAAACCCCAAACCCCCAAACCCTAAGCCCTAAACCCTCAACCCCAAACCCTAAGCGAAGACGGGTCAGTTGCACCACTGCTTGAGAAGGTTTCGTTTCGCCACGGGCCTGCCCGCCGTATTGGGAGTTTAGGAACTTGCGGTGTGGGGCTTGGGGTTTGCCGAGGTCCGGGGACGAAGAGGTTCATATAGCTTTTGGGACAGAGGGATGTATGCTTCGGTGTGAACAGGCCTTCATGCACCGCGGCAAGATGACCTGTATGTCGTGGCTTACGACTGAATTCAGATGTTGCAGTCCAGGCTTTCAGGTGCGTCAGGCATGTGGCAGAAGATGTGCTGCGCCGACGTGCGCACGCGCATGCACTGCGCAAGGCGGCAGCGGAATTGCAAGGTGAGGGCTTGGGACCTGCCTGAGAGTTTTGGGATTAGGTCCGCAGAAACATGGTCCTGCCAAATTTAAAGGACATTGCCCTGCCAAATTTTAGAGCCCTAAACCCTAAACCCTAAACCCTAAACCCTAAACCTTAAACCCTCAACCCTAAACCCTCAACCCTAAACCCTAAACCCTAAACCCTAAACCCTAAACCCTAAACCCTAAACCCTGAACCCTAAACCCCAAACTTAGTCAGAGGCCCCCCAAGAGTGGAAGCCCGTATGACTTCTGACAGAACCAGCAAACATCCTCTTCAACAGATGCTCAACAAGAAATTTGCAACCCTACGCTTTCTTTGTGGTATCCCTGAGCCCTGAAGGTAACTAAGCCCTTATGAATTCCAGGGACTAAGCATTTCCAAGGGGAGGGGGGTGTTAGACGCACTCCCCTACTTGAGGGACTACAAGGAGACGACCCTTAAGGGACCTCAGGGGGGGGCTTAGGTTCTGGGTTTCATCAGTTTAGGGTTTCGGGTTTAGGGCTTGACGGCTGTATTGAGGGGCTAACCATGTTTGCTAAGACTCTGGAAGGTGTATGTAAAGGATTCAGAGTTCCAGCTACTTTTCTCCCTGAGCCATCAGCCCGATAGCCTTCTCCTACCTTCAACCCGAAGTCCTTTCTCCCCAACCCTAAACCCTAAACCCTGAACCCTAAACCCTGAACCCTGAACTGTAAACCCCCATCCGAAAATTCCGACCTCAGCCCTACAGGGGCGCACAGAGCAGCCCCCGAAACTCCGGAAGCAAAAAGTTCAGGGCCACGCCTCCTCTCCCAAGGCCTCGGCTTCAGTCAGGGGTTTGGGGTTTGGGGTTTAGGGTTTGGAGGGTTTAGGGTTTATAGTTTTGGGTTTAGGGTTTGGGGTTTGGGGTTTGGGGTTTAGGGTTTAGGGTTTAGGGCCTAGGGTTTAGGGTTTCGGGTTTCGGGTTTGGGGTTTAGGGCTTTTGGGCTTTTGGGCCACCCACCCAACGGGTCGGGGGCCAAAAAGGTTGCAACACAGCTTCGCAATCCTGGTGAAAAGCCCCCCCCCCCCCCTAATCAAAAACTCTGAGTGAAACTATTCCCTAGACCCAAGAGTAGCCAAGAAATACAAAGGGTACAGGTCTTGGGCTTTGGGGACTAATGTTGCAGGCCGCCACTAGGTTCAGAAGGAATCGTGTGGCAGCCGAGCCCTAGGAAGATCCCTCTAGAGGCCCTAAACCCTAAACCCTAAACCCTTAACCCTTAAACCCTAAACCCTAAACCCTAAACCCTAAACCCTTAAACCCTAAACCCTACCACGGTGAAGGGTTTGGGGCTTATAAACTCTGCTTATAAAGCCCACCTAACCCCAAACCCCCCAAACCCTAGTCCCGAAAACCCCCCCAAAAAAAAACCAACACCAAACCCTGAACCCCAAACCCTGAACCCAAACCCAAACCCTACACCCCAAACCCCAAACCCCAAACCCCAAAATGTAAGGAGTTTCCTGAAAATTCAAGCGTCTGTGGTTTGGGCACCGGGCCTTCCTGCCAAGCCTCCAACCCTAAACCCTAAACCCTAAGCCCTAAACCTCAAACCCTAAACCCTAAACCGCTTGTCTTTTGGCTTTCAGGGTTTCTATGTAGGCCCCGGGTTATTTCACATGTCTTGTCTTGGTGAGTTGAAGAGGATCACATTCGGGAATCGTTTTCAGAAGGTTTTAGGGGCCATTCTAGGTTAGGGCCCGGCAAAAATTGCCGGCAGTTTAGGTTTTAGGGGCTGTTTAGGGTTTAGGGTTTAGGGTTTAGGGTTTAGGGTTTAGGGTTTAGGGTTTAGGGTTTAGGGTTTAGGGTTTAGGGTTTAGGGTTTAGGGTTTTTACTTAGGTACAAGAGGCCGCCGCGAGCCCCAACTCACAATCCCACAGCCCTGCAGAAGGCCTTATGATTACTTATGGCTGCACATCTTAAACCCTAAACCCCAAACCCCAAACCCCAAAACCCTAAACCTTAAACCCTAAACCCTAAACTCAAAACCTAAACCCCAAACCCAAAACCCTAACCCTAAACCGTTACTTCTGGCTGCAAATCCTAAACTCAAACCCTAAACCCCAAACCCAAAACCCTAACCCTAAACCCGACATGAAACCCATGATGAACTAGGCTTCGGGGCCCGCAGGGCTGTTTCCAGCCGTCCGTCTTGGGCAGCCTGCCACAGGCTGCATGTGACTCGCCAGACATGGGGGGCCAGTCGCTACATGTGGGGGTCTAGGGTTTAGGGTTTAGGGTTTAGGGTGTAGGGTTTAGGGTTTAGGGTTTAGGGCTTTGTTGCCACCCGACTAGCCACAGCACTGCGGAGTGTAGGGTTTAGGGCTTCTGCTGCATGATCTGAGGGCCGCGCGATAGGGCTTAGGGCGTAGGACATAGGGTTGAGGGTGACACTTCACCTCGTGGGCATGAGAGGTTCGCACCGGGATCCTTCGGACACCGCGGACCCCCCGCAAACCCGTTGTATGGAGGTCTGGCATTCTCAGAAGACGCCCTTGCAGCCAAGCTGGCGAACCAGGGTTTAGTAGGGTTTCGGGCTTAGGGTTTAGGGTAGCCCCAAAAGTGTGCCGCCTCTGAACCGGGTAGGGTGCTTCGGGGACTCCCCTAAACTCTATGCCCAAGCCCGACCCCAATTGCAAGCTCAGACAGAGCCGAGGCAGTCTACGCGCGGCGCTTACCATCATTGGCCCCTGTAGCAAAGGGATAGCTTCAAATTTTTGCACCCACGTTTAGGAGTCTCCAACCTGCAAAACCCAAGCTCAATTGAGGAGATCTGGTAAGTCGGGCCAAGTTGGGATGTTCCCCCCTATACCAACAGTCCTTAATAGGGATTTTGATGAAAATAGGAAGCACTAATTATCCCAACTAAGGACTGTCAGCATCAGGGGGGACATCCCCAAGGGGCCGAGGGTTGAGGGTCTTTGTTGCAGGCTTTATAGACACTGCAGGGCTTTGACCTCATGAAGGGTTCAGGAGATTGGGGGCTTCGGCCACGAGCCATCACGTGGTGGGCTAAACCCTAAACCCTAAACACTAAATCCTAAACCCTAAACCCTAAACCCTAAACCCTAAACCCTGTAGTAGCACACACAGAGCAGCGTTTCCTTTCCCTGTGCCTGCTGCAGCTGCGACTTCACCTCTGTCGGCTTTGCTGACGTTCGCGAAATAGGGTACCCTTTGGGGGGGGTTCCTCTGATGTTCGCATTTGTCTGCAAGGGATTTTGTCTATTTGGGAAGTACTCATCATCAACACCCTAAACCCTCAGCCCTCAACCCTCGACCCCAAAACCCTTTTGCAGCGAGCCTCGTGCGCCAGCAGCTCGGTTACAGGCACTCTGAGAACCCCAAAACCCTAAACCCTCAACCCTCAACCCTGAACCCCAAACCCCCTAAGGGTGCTTAAACAATGACGGGTCAAGTCGCTCTCAGGGCTCGGGGTCGGGGCTCCGACCCAACACCCCGGAAGAGCCATGCCTCCAGACCCGAAAAACCCTAAACGCCCCGCAGCCTGTAAACCCTGAAGCTCTGAATTCTCTAAGGGTTTAGGGTTTAGGGTTTAGGGTTTAGGGTTTAGGGTTTAGGGCATAAGTTTTCAGCACCTCAGTGGCTTCCCTTTGGCCCGCCTTATCGCGCGCGGCAGCCAACAGGGCCTATCGAGTTGAGGGTTTGTGGCTTGGTGCTGCTCAGGGTTTGGGGCTCCGAGCAGAGCAGGGTTTAGGGTTTAGGGTTTAGGGTTTAGGGTTTAGGGTTTAGGGTTTAGGGTTTAGGGTTTAGGGTTTAGGGTTTAGGGTTTAGGGTTTAGGGTTTAGGGCTTATTTTGAGGTTTAGGGCTTATGGCAATGTGGTGCACCAGCTGCCATGGCCCGATTGTGGGGTGGCACCTAACCTTTTTGGTCCCACCCCACGCTGTCTCAGGCGGCAAAACCACCCTCATCCATTCCTTTTAGGGTTTAGGGTTTAGGGTTTAGGGTTTAGGGTTTAGGGTTTAGGGTTTAGGGTTTAGGGTTTAGGGTTTAGGGTTTAGGGTTTAGGGTTTAGGGTTTAGGGTTAGGTTTAGGGTTTAGGGTTTAGGGTTTAGGGTTTAGGGTTTAGGGTTTAGGGTTTAGGGTTTAGGGTTTAGGGTTTAGGGTTTAGGGTTTAGGGTTTAGGGTAATTGTTTGCAGGGTTTTTTCCTGACAGTCGGAGATGTGCCTGCGACCCCCCTCCGGGGGGCCCCAAGAGTCTCAAGAAGTTGAGGGAGGGTCTCTGGCCCGGGGCGCTTGGTTGGCCGGGTGTGGGGTGCGCCAAGTCAACTTACACTTGGGTTTTGGGTTTTGGGTTTAGGGTTTAGGGTTTAGGGTTTAGGGTTCAGGGTTCAGGGTTCAGGGTTCAGGGTTCAGGGTTTAGGAAGGAGTGGGTCGCGTGCGGAGTCCGCCCAGCGACCCCACCAAGTAGCCGATGCGCTGACGTGCTCATTGGGCTTCTGTGCGCTTCCGCGGGGAAGCCAAGAAAAGTTGGAGGCCTTGTGAGTTGAATTTTCTCCAATGCTCGGCTTCAGAATAATTTAGTGACTTTAACTAGGGACTGGTTATGGGGAGAGGTCTCCGGCACCGGGCTCATCGTGGGTGCTACCGACCTCCGAGCTGCGGGAGGCGGCTGAACGACCCGGGTCGGCTTGTGCCATCAAGGTGGAGGCCTGAGTTTATGTAGGGTTTAGGGAAGAAGGCTAGATGCCGCACACGGCCTTTGGGATTGCTTGAAGCAGGACTGGTCTCTGGTCGCATGAACGAGTCGCCACGTGACAACTGCAAGACTCGAATGCCAGCAAGCTCGACTCACCGGCAAAGCTTGCAACACTTCAGCCGGCCTCTGAATCAGCTTTGGTACCTTTGGTGTCCTGGCAAGAGCTCCCGCATGGACGCAAAGTAGAACTAAGCACAGCTTTGCCTCCACATCCAAACACGCTATACCCGAAACCCCAGGCCCCAAACCCTAACTTATCCACTCTAGACCCTAACCCCTCCCCGACCCCTTCCCCATGCCCATCCTTCACGTGGATCTCGCCTAAGATCTGCTCCAGCTTGCCGTTCGCCGACGCCTCGCATACTTGAAGGTTCATGGGCACTCATAAGTGGGCTTAGAAGTCTTATAAGTGTCCCAAATGAGGTTATAACCAAACCCTAAACCCTAAACCCTAAACCCTAAACCCTAAGCCCTAAACCCTAAACCCTAAACCCTAAGCCGACTTATAACCTTACTTAAAAGTACCCATGATCCTCCAAGTGGGCTGCCTAAACTTTTCGTTGGACCCCCCGAACTGATGTCACAAGGGATCCCCAAGAGGCGCAACCTGTGCTGCAGTGCTACAGAGGATCTGGTCTGGGTGGCGCCGCAACCCTAAGCACCCGACAAACACTCGATGAAAACGATAAACCCCGACAGAACCCGATAAACCCTTACAAAGCCCTATTAACACCCGAGAAAACCCCAAAATATAATCGTATACAACGCTATACATCCCAAAAAACGACATTAAAAAATATCATATAATAATATTAATAATAATAATAACAATAATGATAATAATAATAATAATAACAGTAATAATAACAAAAACAATAACAATAATAATAATAACAATAATAACAACAATAATAATAATAATATTGTAATTATTATTAATATGAATAGATAGTATAGAATTGATACATAAAACCAACCCTCTAAAACCCGATCGTCCACCTCGGAGAGCAGCATGGCCGCGCGCTGGCGCACGTCAAGCAAGGTCGCCTCTTCAGAGGCGCCGGAACTGGCTCTGAGGGCTTTTGGCGTTTTTAGGGTTTTTAGGGTTTTTTAGGGTTTAGGGTTTAGGGTTTAGGGTTTAGGGTTTAGGGTTTAGGGTTTAGGGTTTAGGGTTTAGGGTTTAGGGTTTAGGGTTTAGGGTTTAGGGTTTAGGGTTTAGGGTTTAGGGTTTAGGGTTTAGGGTTTAGGGTTTAGGGTTTAGGGTTTAGGGTTTAGGGTTTAGGGTTTAGGGTTTGTGTTTTTTGTAGGGCTTTGAGGGCTCTTAGTGCTCTTAGGGCTCTTAGGGCTCTTAGGGCTCTTAGGGCCCTTAGGGCTTTCAGGGCTCCTAGGGCTTTTAGGGCTTAGGGGGGCTTAGGGGGCTTTTGGGGTTTACAGTAGGGCTCCAGGCCTTTGGAATTTAGGGCTTTAGGGTTGTTTTTTCTTGCCACCCGACTGGCCACAGCACGGGTGACCCTAACCTGAACCATAAACCTAAACCCTAAACCCTAAACCCTAAACCCTAAACCCTAAACCCTAAACCCTAAACCCTAAACCCTAAACCCTAAACCCTAAACCCTAAACACGACCCGAATGCAACCTAGCTCCAGAGCACCTCCCGGGCAGAGCTCTGGCGTTGGTGCACCTCGCCAAGCACCTTGCAAAGGACTTGGGGATGTTGCGGGCTCAACCCCAAACCCTAAACCCTAAACCCTAAACCCACTAAGGGAGGGGCTCCGGCCCGAAGATCACTAAACCCTAAACCCTAAACCCTAAACCCTAAACCCTGAATCTAGGTGCTTTGGTGGTCGCAGTCGGAGCTTCTTGAAGGGTATTTGGTTTCTAAGGCTGCTGTCAATAGAACCCAGCAAACAAACCAAAAACAAAAATATGTATACATATATATATATATAGATATACATGTATATATACACATATACATATACATATATGTATATATATATGTGTGTGTGTGAGAGAGTACGTATGTATATACATGTATTTCATACATGCTATGTATATATGATCATCTATTCCTGCATTCATCGATTGTCATAGTATATGAGTCAATTGCTGAAGCGATCACTCACGGCGACAACCCTACCCGCCCAATGCCATCTAATTATGAAAAAAGAAGCTTAACATCCAGAAAAGGCTCTCTCAAGGAAATACCAACCCTTTGCAGCAGGCTTTGCTCCACTCGCTCGGTAAACCCTAAACCCTAACCCTAAACCCTAAACCCTAAACCCTAAACCCTAAACCCTAAACCCTAAACCCTAAACCCTGAACCCTGAGGCTGGCAGAGAGCTGAACTCAGCTCGTGGGCCTGATCAACTCGACACTGAAAACCCTTGTGCTACTGGGCTTGGGGACTAGCCAGGAACCCCCATAAACCGAGTTAAGGTGGTTTAGGGTTTAGGGTTTAGGGTTTAGGGTTTAGGGTTTAGGGTTTAGGGTTTAGGGTTTAGGGAGGGTTTAGGGTTTAGGGTTATTTTGCTTGGACCCTCTAGGTCAAAAAGCTTTCACGAGGGGGGCTGTGCACCTGCTGCAAGCGCCCAGTCTCTGCAGCCTGGTGCAAAGTTCTACAAACGGCCATTTGGCGTCTAGAACTTATGAGGTTGAGGGCTAATTAACACTAAACCCCTAAACCCTAAACCCTACAAGTCGGGGCCCCTTAGTTGTCTGTGCAAAGGATTCGGGTTCGGGTGCCTTCGCCTTAAAAGCCCAGAGTCCGCCCACGTAGCTGGACGAACCACTCCGCAGGGATGGGTTTTAGGGTTTAGGGTTTAGGGTTTAGGGTTTAGGGTTTAGGGTTTAGGGTTTAGGGTTTAGGGTTTAGGGTTTAGGGTTTAGGGTTTAGGGTTTAGGGCTTCGGGTTCGGCTTTTGAAGCCTCAGCTGGACCTGCGCAGGGCTCTAAACTTTAGGGATTTGGAGTATCCAGGCTAGAAAAGCAACAACACACACCCCCAAGCCACCTGAATTTCGGGGTTCGGATTCACTTCCTTCCGTTCATACTTGAATACACCCTTTAAAGGGTGTTACACTTAGGGTTTAGGGTTTCGGGTTTCGGGTTTGGGGTTTAAGGCTTAGGGTTTGGGTTTAGGGTTTAGGGTTTAGGGTTTAGGGTTTAGGATGCCTACACCCCTAAACCCTAAACCCTAAACCCTCCTATAAGCCCCAGAGGCCATGGCCTCTATCAGCATCTCGGCAGCCCGCGCGCGGACGTCGCCCAAGTACGACGCCTCCGCCATGGAGAAGTGTTGCAGGGGGCTTTGATGCACATGGTTTGAAGGGAATGTATTAGGGTTTAGGGTTTAGGGTTTAGGGTTTCGGGGATTAGGGGCCTCATTATAAGGGAAATCTACTATTTGGGGGTGTATGTTGGGGGCCCCCTATTTTCGTAAACCCCCATATAAGCTTCAATGAACATGACGCCTGCTTCAACAAAAAAGGGAAACGGAGCAACCCATGGCCTCCCCCCCCCCATCCCTAAGAGCCCAATACCCCTTCAACAGCAAAACTTACCTTACATCAGCATAGGGATCCCTTTAAGTTTTGAGGTATATTCCTTAGTTGAGGGGTATTACCCTAAACCCTAAACCCTAAACCCTAAACCCTAAACCCTAAACCCTAAACCCTAAACCCTAAACCCTAAACCCTTTGAGGTATCTTCCTTCGTTGAGGGGTATTGGCCTCTTTGGGTCCTCATGCAATGCAGGGATGGCGCAAGTGCTGACGGGGAAAGACCACGTATTCAGAGGCTTTGAAGGCCACCTCGGGAAAAACTGATGATCGTGATGCAGTCCTAAACCCTGAACCGGCATAGGGTTTAGGGTTTAGGGTTTAGGGTTTAGGGTTTAGGGTTTGGGGTTTAGGGTTTAGGGTTTAGGGTCCAGCACTCCGGATCGAGCAGTTTTATGGCTAAAGTTTTATTTGCGGCTCGGATATGACACCCACCCACCGAGAGAATCCCGTAACATTGAGAAAGCCAAAAACGGCCAAATTCTGAAAATAAAGCGGCCAATTCTGAAAATAAAGCGGCCAAATTCTGAAAACACAGCGGCCAAATTCTGAAAATAAAGCGGCCAAATTCTGAAATTAAAGCGGCCAAATTCTGAAAATAAAGCGGCCAAATTCTGAAAACGCAGCGGCCAAATTCTGAAATTTAATTAGCCTTTGGCCTGTTTTGGCACGTTCTGAAAATGAAGCGGCCAAACTCTGAAAATAAAGCGGCCAAATTCTGAAAACACAGCGGCCAAATTCTGAAAATAAAGCAGGCCAATTCTGAAAATAGAGCGGGAAAATTCTGAAATTACAGCGGCCAAATTTTGAAAATAAAGCGGGAAAATTCTGAAATTAAAGCGGCCAAATTCTGAAATTCAATTAAGGTCTAAATATATATGGTAGAGAGGGTTTAGGGTTTAGGGTTTAGGGTTCAGGGTTCAGGGTTCAGGGTTTAGGGTTTAGGGTTTAGGGTTTAGGGTTTAGGGTTTAGGGTTTACGGTTTGGCCCAGGGATCGCTGTCCGGAATTTTGGGGGGCCCCTTCCTTGTTGAGCCACGCACCTTCTCCCTCTGGAGATCGGCCACGATCGTCTCCAGAGCACCGGACTCCGCAGCCTCACACTCCAGGGCTTAGGGTTTAGAGTTTAGCGTTTAGGGTTTGGGGTTTAGGGTTTAGGGTTTAGGGTTCCGGGGTTCGTTTTGGGTTCGTTTAGGGTTTCGGGCTTTGCTTGCCCTCCACCCAGAACCCGTGCACCCTCTAAACTTAACAAACCCCAGACCCTAAACCCTAAACCCTAAACCCTAAACCCTAAACCCCAGACTCTAACCCCCCCGAAGCCTCAACCTTTCTGTTGCCTCCGGGTCTAAGCTTCCATGTTAAACCCCCCCTATGCCCAGATTACTATACTAACAAATTACTACACCCGATTATTAAATCATAATATATTGTAACCCTAAACCCTAAACCCTAAACCCTAAACCCTAAACCCTAAACCCTAAACCCTAAACCCTTAAACCCTAAACCCTAATCAAGAGGCCTCCAGCAGGGACGCCTTAGCAGCTGCGCGGATGTCCGCCAGCTGATCCTCCATGCGCGGCGTGCCCTGCAGAAGGGTTTAGGGTTTAGGGTTTAGGGTTTAGGGTTTAGGGTTTAGGGTTTAGGGTTTAGGGTTTAGGGTTTAGGGTTTAGGTTTCAGAATTCGCAGGGCTAACGTTTTTCTGGGTGGCCAAACGGGGTCGGGTTTCTTTTTGCCAGCTGCTAAGGGCTTAGGGTTTAGGATTTGTTTTTGGGGCCAAGGGCTTCGAAATTGTTGGTGCCTAATGTAGGGGCCTGAGAGAGAATAGGGTTTTGGGAAATTATTCTATGTATAATTATAGCGGGACCATAAGGGAACACTGTTAGTAACTATTCCGGCCCCCATAGTATGGGTTCCGGGGCCTAAACCCTAAACCCTAAACCCTAAACCCTAAACCCTGAACCCTTTCTCAGGGTTCAGACTGCGGCCCCGCCGACGTGGGTTTCTGTTGCTGCTTTGAGGAGGTGGGTTGCGAGCTTTTTGGCTTCTTTGGTGCTGTCTTTCGCTTCAGCATCTTTTAGCTGCTATCTTTTCGCAAACCCTGAACCCTAAACCCTAAACCCTAAACCCTAAACCCTAAACCCTAAACCCTCAAAGGCCCCAAGCCCTGATCCGAAATGCCCCACTCACCCCCGTTTGGGGCTTCTGACAGCCCGAGCCCATCTACGAGACCACGCCCGCCTTCACTGAGCCAAGTACCTGGCAAGTCCAGGAACTGCAGTCGGGTTTAGGGTTTAGGGTTTAGGGTTTAGGGTTTAGGGTTTAGGGTCTAGGGTTTAGGGTTTAGGGTTTAGGGTTTAGGGTTTAGGGTTTAGGGTTTAGGGTTTAGGGTTTAGGGTTTAGGGTTTAGGGTTTAGGGTTGTTGTTTGTTCAAAAGAATTCCTGGTTCAGGCCGCCGACCAACAGAAAATCCGGCAGTCGTCACTTGTCTGTGCCAGAAATGCAACGTCTGCCCTGCTACAAACACAAGCTGTCCCTGTCTGTCGCGATCTTGTTCGAGCTCAAAATTATGCCTAGTCCAAACAAAGCAGTCTTGTTTTCCAACGGAACTCTCTGACGTGCTTAGACCCCTTCTTTTGAACCCGCGCTATGCAACTGCCTGAGACGATGCGACTGCACCATCGCTCCACGACAGCTGAACCTAGCAATCCGGACCACACAAACAAAGAAATCAAGCCCTAAACCCTCGCAAGCCCTAACTCAACAACACCCTAAACCCAAACAAAACATAATGGCCAGGCAGCACCTTCTCCAGCTCACCATTGTCGGCTGCCTGACACACGCTGCTCACATCGGGTTGCGGCCCAAACCCTTCCCCCCCAAAAATGCCCCAATGCCCTAAACCCTAAACCCTAAACCCTAAACCCACAGAGTGCCTGCCCCCAAAGCTCGACATGAAATGCCCCCTTTTGCAGCTTCTGCCACTTGACCGATACTGACTACTCCACGCCTTAAGGAGGCGACTCGTGCGCGAAAGCCAAGCATCGGGAACTATCTTTCATGCTCTATAATACCCTAAACCCTAAACCCTAAACCCTAAACCCTAGAGCCCGAAACCCTAAAAACCTGGAAAGCCATGCGCCGGTCCTCAGCCAGCAGCTTCGCCGCTCGCTCGCGGACGCTGGCCTGGAAGCGTCTCCGGTCTCAGGGTTTAGGGTTTAGGGTTTAGGGTTTGGGTATTAGGGTTTAGGGTTTAGGGTTTGAGCGCGGCAGCTCTGGCTAGAGCCCTACTCGTAAGTACCGGGAGAAGTCCTTGAAGAGGTACCCTAAACCCTAAACCCTAAACCCTAAACCCTAAACCCTAAACCCTAAACCCTAAACCCTGAGAGCTCAGAGAGGAAAGAGTCAGATTTCAAGGGCGACGGCGCTCTCAAACGACCAGCAGCGAGGAATGCATCCTACCCTTGTGGAGGAATGCAGGAACCGGCCGACGTAGGCCGACGGTTTAGGGTTTAGGGTTTAGGGTTTAGGGTTTAGGGTTTAGGGTTTAGGGTTTAGGGTTTAGGGTTTAGGGTTTAGGGTTTAGGGTTTAGGGTTTAGGGTTTAGGGTTTAGGGTTTCGCAGGCCGACGCCCGACACCGCGCTTCTGGAGTGTCCGGCAGAGCCCACCACAAGATGATACAGCTTAGGGCTTAGAGGTTGGGAAGGCCAAACATGCGCCTCACTTCAACGCAGGTCTGGCTCAACTGTGAAACATTGGACGCAATGTCTATAAACAAGCCCGCGGGCCGTCTGTGCTGCAACTTAGTCGCGGGCCACTGTCTAAGTATGACAGTTGAGCCCACCGGCAGCCAGGACCTTCGCTGCCACGAGGGTTGCACCTGAACAATCGCACGCCGCCTCACAGCTAGCTGCTCCCAAAGTCATGTGACGCATCGGGGAACACGAAGCCTTTGCACCGTGCCGTCGCCTCGGCCTGGGCCAAGATGAGGCTCAAGGATCCGACTTGCCCCATTTTCAGATAGACTTCCTGTCGTCGCTGGTCCTTCATCAACAGCTCTCTATCTCTGTCGCTGCAAGTCTGGGTAGAGCTGCAAGACCAAGCGGATTCCCTGGACTCCTTGGAGCCCAGGCGAGAGCTTTGCTGCGAGCTCTCAGGTGCGGGAAGTGTTTGGCTGCCACTTCGGCTGTCAGGTGCCTCCCAGGCGCGCACCGGACCCCGGTGAGCTGGGCGACGGGGAGGGACGTTGCTGACCGATCGGCCATGGAGGTTGCCAGGCGTCTTTGGGAAGCTCTGGGAGTCCACGGTCCAATAGCTCCGCGGCCAGACTGTGTCCAAGTACCGCGTCGAGTACGTCCTCTTCCTGCGCCAGGCGCGGACGCGCCAGGCGCGAGGATCAGCCGTCGCAGGATGGGTCTTCTCCATGGCAAGGCACTTGATCAGACAGCTTGAGGCGACGGACCGGTGCTCCTTCCCCCACACGCGCTGCGGCTTGCAATGAGTTCCCCTGCACCCGAGCCCAAACCAGCTACCCTGGCCTCGCCGTGCTTCTGCGGCTCCTTCCGGGCACGAGCCGAAGCCCCAGAACCGCAAACCCAACACGAGCCCTGAAATTTGTATCGTAGGGTAGTTACATTGGGCCCTTCATATGGGCCCTTAGATGACCCTCCAGAAAACCCTTGATTTACACTCTGAAGCCCAGGGCCCATGCTTCAGAACCCTTTCAGGAAGGTGAGGGACCATAACTTTCAGGAATGTAACTACCCTTAGATTCCAGGACTCCCCCGGATCCTACCCCGAGCCGCGCCGCCCTCCAAAACATTGAAAAAGTTGCATTCTTGCAAGACCCAAGGGTTTTTCGGGTTTAGGGTTTAGGGTTTAGGGTTTAGGGTTTAGGGTTTAGGGTTTAGGGTTTAGGGTTAGGGAAAGCTCAGACAAGAATGGAGCTCAGGAGTGTCAGAAAGCGTCCTCAAGCCCCTGGTGGCCTCGGGGCTTTGACAAGTCCATCGAAAAACATCGTGGCATAAGGTGACCCTAAACCCTAAACCCTAAACCCCTAAACCCTAAACCCTAAACCTCAAACCCCAAGCCTTAAGGTACTTCAGTCCATGTCTAAGACCACGCCCCACCTTCTCCAGGGAGGCAAGGGCCTGGACACTTCGAGGTAGCCAGCGGGCTGTGCTCAGAAGGTGGCTGGCTTTGGGGTTTGGGGTTTGGGGTTTGGGGTTTGGGGTTTGGGGTTTGGGGCTTCGGGGTTAGGGTGCAGAGTTCCTCCATTCCCTGCTAACCAACAGTAAGTTTAGGGGCAAACTTAGGGTTGAGGGTTTACGTGCGTCTGATTTCTTTATGGGGGCTTGGGGTGCTCGGATCCTAGAGCACAGTTTCTTCACAAGACTTTGGGGGCCTCCCTTCGCCCACCGCAAGGCCAAACCCTAAACCCCAAAACAGTAAGCCCGCACTGTCGCTAAGCTCTAAACCCCTATACTTTTTAAGGGATTATGTAGGGTACCCCATTCCCTCCATTCCCTGGTAACCAACAGCAAGTAAAGTCACCACGACAGCACCTTCTCCAGCCCGCCGTTAGCGGCTGCCTGGCGCACGGAGCGGATTTACATAACCTCAAACCTTCTGACCTTAAACTCTGTTTTCTTGAGGAGGGACTGCTAAACTACGAACTATTTGCCTAAGAATCCCCAACAAATATATTCCGCCAGATACGACAAGTATAAGGAACATGTTTACTTATTGGGTTTCTTAAGCAAATGGTAGTAAAGCCGTTGTTGGTCTGGGACGGTTGGCCAGAATATCACACAGCCTTCCGGAAATGCAAGAATTTCTTCCTGAAGCCAATACCACCTAAACCATTTCTGAACCCAGATTTTGTTCCAAGGTCAAAGCCCAAACCCAGTGCCCTTGGAGCCTGAGCCCTGAACCCTGCCCTGAATGTCCCTAAACACCGTGTCTGTCCGTCCTCAGCAAGCAGCTTCGCCGCTCGCGCACGGACCTTGAAAACGTCTGGGCCCCAAACCCGTTTGCTACTGGGCTTGAGGACTATATTAGGGCCTAAACCCTAAACCCTAAACCCTAGACCCGGGATCTGGTGTGCTACGGATGCCGAATGGTGGGATTCAGGCTGAGGGTCTGAAGGAGTTCAGGGTTTAGGGTTTAGGGTTTGGGGTTTGGGTTTCACACACACACACACAAAGCCCCAGACAGTCGAACGCCAAACTTTTCTTTAGCCCGGAGAAACCCCAGACCGTCTGTTTGGGGTTTAGTAAATCTGTCCGAGTCCCCTTTTTGCATATTGGCCCCCTTTTACCCCGAAACCCGTTTGGACCTGGAACTGCGGCCCGAGCCGGCCCCAAAACCCTAAACCCTAAACCCTAATCCCTAAACCCTAAACCCTAGTCCCTAAACCCTAAACCCTAAACCCTAATCCCTGGAACCCTAAACCCTAAACCCCCCAAAAAAACCTTTCCGTAGAACCCAGTCTCTGTGGCCCAGTCTCCGTTGCCCTGTCTCTGTGCTCCAAGTTTAGGGGTTAAGGGGTTTAGGGTTTTCTGCCCCAAAGCCTAAACCCTAAACCCTAAACCCTAAACCCTGAGCCCTGAGCCCTAAGCCCTAAGCCCTAAACCCTAACCCTAAACCCTAAACCCTAAACCCTAAACCCTAAACCCGAACTTCTTTGCACTGCCAGGCGGGAGGGTGACAGAAGGAAGGATGCGATCCCCGCGCCTCTTCTCTCGTCTCAGCATCGCCCTTGGGCTTCCGAAAGGTAGGGTTTAGGGTTTAGGGTTTAGGGTTTAGGGCTTAGGGTTTAGGGTTTAGGGTTTAGGGCTTAGGGCTTAGGGTTTAGGGTTTAGGGGTTTAGGGGTTTAGGGTTTAGGGTTTAGGGTTTAGGGTTTAGGGTTTTAGGGTTTTAGGGCTTTAGGGTTTTAGGGCTTTAGGGGTTTAGGGGTTTAGGTTTAAGGTTTAAGGTTTTTTGCCACCTGTCTACCCACAGCACTGCGGGGTTGCTTGGTTGGACTTCAGAAGAACTTGAAGAGGAAGAAGACCCCTCCGAGGGCTTACACTGGCTAACACCTTATCGGGGATGCCAGGGGCGTTTACGGCAGGAAATTGTCGGACCTGACAGGTGTCGCCCTTCTTGCTCAATGTCAGGCCACAACTTTCGCCCGCCATAACCCATGACCAAGAAACCATGACTGAAGTCGTGGTACGGTGTGCTTGGAGGTTCGTGGTACATATTAACCAATTGCTGGGGGCACTTTTCTTGCTGCGGCTTGCAAGCTAAACCCTAAACCCTAAACCCGAAACCCGAGACCCTAAACTGACCCGGCCTTGCTGGTCTTCTTGCTATCCTGCACGGCACACACCCCCTCTCCACAACTGCAAATCACTGAACCTTGCATCTACTGTTGGTTCGTAGGGAATGAGGGAATGAGCCACCCAATATAAGCCCTTAAAGGGTACACATAGGGGGATATGAAGCAGGGTTTATATTTCTTGTACCCCCAAAAGGACACCCAAGGTATACACACACCAATATTAAGAAGGAGCCTTATATACACTCACCAAAAACAGTAATATAAACCCTGCTTCATATAGGGTACTTTCCCTACTAACCGAGCAGGAAGTCTAAGGTGGATCTAGGGGGCCCGTAAAGCCTAAATTCTACGGGTTGCACTCGGCGTTGTGAACCTGAAGGCCGATAGAATTCTTAGGGTTTAGGGTTTAGGGTTTAGGGTTTAGGGTTTAGGGTTTAGGGTTTAGGGTTTAGGGTTTAGGGTTTAGGGTATACTGAACTTGGAACCCTAGCAAAAATTGCTTTTTGCTGTTTCTTAAGATTTAGAGTACCCAAAACAACCAAACATTAAAAGTTATGCCCAAGTATCCCTAAGTCCAAACCAACCCCGATGAGCAAGAGTGACTAGCCACAAAGTCGAAGCACCGCGGAGTCCTCGTGTCCCAGGACGCTTTCCAGGAGTCCGTTGCCAGCCGCCTGGCTTTCCGCAGGCTCGCACTGGGATCCGAAAGATTCCGCAGGAGATTCAAATGAAAGATAGATGCTTAAGCGCGTGTCGCTGCCTGCGTCAGGAGCTGTGCTGCCTTCTGCCGCAGCTGCCACTGCTCCGGCGTGGCCCCCTTGGCCGATCCGAGGCTTTTCGGGCTTCGACACTTGCACTCGCACAGCGCGAACGTTCTCACGGTGGGGGCGTAAAGCTTCTACAGCCTTTTCGAAATCCACATGAGGGGATCCTTAGTTGCTTCCTGGCTTTGGCGAAAGAGAGATGCCCTCCCAGCTCCTGCTCTACGGTGTGTTCAGTCAACTGTGTCTGAGTGAAAAAAACTCACGATTCAGAGTTTAGGGTTTAGGGTTCAGGGTTCAGGGTTCAGGGTTTAGGGTTTAGGGTTTAGGGTTTAGGGTTTAGTGTTGCGTGGTGCGCAAATATTACCATGCAACCGCATCCAACTCACTCGCTGGTGTCATTGCAGACGCAGTGGGGACCCAGTGAAACACTTCAGTACTCAGCCTTCTCTGACTGGCTCCCGGCCCTTTCCATTTGAAGCTCCATGCTATTCTTCGGCTGCTGGGGGGGGCTTCTTCCCATGTCCCCACCTAACCTCATATTACCGGAGGTTTAGGTTTAGGGCTTTGTTTCAAGCCACGCGCCCAGCACTCGCGCGGAGGGTCTTAACTAGGTTAGGATCAACTTCTGTGTCGCGGGATAGTGCCCCACCAAGATCCAACCGCCCTCGCCAGAATAGCTAAAGTACAGCTAGCTCACGACCAGAGCTTTTGCAGGAGAAACCCTATAAAACCCTTAGGGTTTAGAGTTTAGGGTTTGGGGTTTGGGGTTTGGGGTTTAGGGTTTAGGGTTTAGGGTTTAGGGCTCTGAAGCCCTAACTTCAAGGCTCGGAGATCGAGGGCTCGGCGTCGCTGACTTTCACGTCCTGGAGGATCTTCTCCAAGTCGCCATTGTCGGCCGCCTTGTAAAAGAGCAGGGTTTTGGGGTTTAGGGCTTGGGGTTTCTCATATGGGTGTCCCTACTGCTTACCTCTATACTACCCCCCCCCCCTAGGTTCCCCCGTTTGACTCGTCTTAATTATCCCTAAACAGCCTTACGTGATTGTGGAGGGAACCTTGGGGGGGTAGTATAGAGGAGGGTAGTAGGGGAACCCATGAGTTTAGGGGCAACCCTGAACAAGGAACATATCCGAAATCGATAAAACAGCCCATGCGGTCTTAAGGTAGTCTCCCAAATTCAGGGTATTGGGCTCCCCGGGAGTGCTAGTCTTACGCTTAGCTGATGTTTTTTTTTGCTGCTTGGCCTTGTCTAAACCCAGTCTAAGCCCAAAAACCAGATCGGAAGGATCCGATATAGGATCCCGGTGTTGTGCACTGCAAGCCTTTTCGATCCAGGCCTCCTTGACAACTGCCGGTTACTCCCCTTCTCATCCAGACCCAGATGCTAAACACCCTTGCTGAAGTAAGCACCATGCCGTGCATGGCCTAGCATGATGCAGCACCAGCACCACAATGCTACATTCCTCCCCACCAGACTGGACCCTAGCACACAAAGGCACACAAGGGGAAGCCCCCAACCATCAGAAAGCAAACCGTCATGCCAATGCTAAACCCTAAATCCCAAACCCTAACCCCTAAGCCCAAGCCCTAAGCCCTAAACCCTATACCTTATAAACCCTAAACCCTAAACCTAATGAACCCTAAACCCTAAACCCTAAACCCTACTCGCCTGGGTCAGGAGGCCGGCGACTTTGCTCCGGACTTCATCGAACATCTCCTGCAGAAGGGCAGTAGTACACGAGATGCATTTACATGGTGACCTTCTTGGGGCAATCTCAATTGTGGTCCTCAATGGCCGTCCGGTCCTTCTTCACCTCCGTCAAGATCTGCTCGAGGCCGCCAGTGTCCGCAGCCTTCCATCACTGCGTGCCACTGTGAGATCTGCCCTTCGTGGATTCACCATGTGGGGGGTTTGCGATACTTGCGGGTACCTTATTGGGCTCCTTATTATAAGGGGATCCTACTACTTTGGGGTTTATTTTAAGGGGCCCCCGATTTTCGCAAACCCACATGTGTTTGGGAATCACTCACCCCTACAGTAGGCCCTGGGCAGTATTCGCATCTTCATGAGCCGTCGCCTACAGCGCCTAGAGGCAGAGATGCGGTAGACTTGCTGCTACCAGAACGGTGGCAACATTTCGGGTTCATGGGCGTTAAATGAAAGCCCACGTCCTTCTGAATGCCTTGTATCTAGGGGGCAAGCTCCCCCAAGCTACGGCGATACACCCTACAACCTTGCACCACAAAAAGCCCGAAAGCCCGAAGCCCACACGCTGTTACACACCCATGTTGTGCGCCTGAGCCAGGAGGTCTGCCGTGCGCTTCCGCAATGCTGCGAGGTCCTGACAGCAGTTTCAAGAAGGCGTTTGGAGCATACCCTATGATAGTAGTAGATCTTTCAATTTTCTAACATTGTGCACTGGAGGCGTTCTGGTTTAGCATCTTCAACTCCGTGAAAAAACCTCTGACCCCAGGGCCTGGAATTTGGACCCACTACTTGTGAGCCAGTTCACCACATATACCTCGTCCGGTGGTACGAGGTGGGTTCAGGGGTTAGGGCTGACATTGGCCAAAGGGCCTCCCTAGCCTTAACCCCGAACTCTCAGCCTGAAACATGTTAGGGCTAGGGGCTTTAGCCTCTCAACCCTGTGCATGTTCCCTCGATCTCCTGCGGGCTCGGCTGCCGTGGGGCCTCACCATGGGCACCACACAAGTGCGTTCGGGTTCTGGGAGGGGCCTAAACCCTAAACCCTAAACCCAAAACCCTTGAGATTCGGTGAAGGACAACCTCAGCTTGACTAAGGCTTCCGCCCACAACACCAAGCGATTTTCCCAAACCCCGAGCCCGAATCTCCGAAGCTTCATCCAGCATCCCTCAAGGGCCCAAGACCCTAACCCCTCAACCCTAAACACTAAACCCTAAACCCTAAACACTAAACCCTAAACCCTAAACCCTAAACCTTAAACCCTCCAGGCAAGTTTTGAGCCCGGCGCCTGCTGTGCTGCCTCCTCTGCCGCCGTCATGGGCTCGATCTGCCCGGGGCCACAAGCCGTGTTTAGGGTTTAGGGTTTAGGGGTTAGGGGTTTAGGGGTTTAGGGGTTTAGGGGTTTAGGGGTTTAGGGGTTTAGGGGTTTAGGGGTTTAGGGGTTTAGGGGTTAGGGGTTTAGGGGTTTAGGGTTTAGGGTTTGGGTGGCGTAAGGTTTGGCACGCGCTCTCTGCCAGCAGTCCACAGCGCTCCGTTGCTTCCGAGGCCGCGGCACATGTGGCCGAACCCCCCTAAGGTTTCGGGGTTTCGGGGTTTCGCGTTGAGAGTTTAAGGGGTTGAGGGTTTAGGGTTTAGGGTTTAGGGTTAGGGCTTAGGGCTTAGGGCTCAGGGCTTAGGGCTTAGGGCTTAGGGCTTAGGGCTTAGGGCTTAGGGCTTAGGGCTTAGGGCTTAGGGCTTAGGGCTTAGGGCTTAGGCTTAGGGTTTAGGGTTTAGGGTTTAGGGTTTAGGGTTTAGGGTTTTTAGGGTTTAGGTTTAGGGTTTAGGGTTTAGGGTTTAGGGTTTAGGGTTTAGGGTTTAGGTTTAAGGTTTAGGGTTTAGGGTTTAGGGTTTAGGGTTTAGGGTTTAGGGTTTAGGGTTTAGGGTTTAGGGTTTAGGGTTTAGGGTTTAGGGTTTAGGGTTTATTAGAGTTTAGGGTTTAGGGAACTCCGGAACACCTAGGGAATTCCTTCGGCAGAGTCCGGGGGTAACCTCACCCCCCTCCAGTCCAACAGACCGCTGGTTACCGCCTGACCTTAAGGCCCTAAACCCTAAACCCTAAACCCCTAAACCCTAAACCCTAAACCCTAAACCCTAAACCTTGTCTGCCTCGGGCTCCTTCTCCACTTGAGGAGTCGGACGCGGCATGGTCCGCAGGGCAGTCACCAAGGCATCCGCCTCCTCGGAACTCTGAGACTTCGGCTTGCATTCTTGGGTTTGAGGTTTAAGGTTTAGGGTTTAGGGTTTAGGGTTTCGGGTTTCGGGTTTCGGGTTTAGGGCTTTGGGGAGGGGTCAGGGGAGGCATCGACCTCGGGCTCGGTCTTCATGGCGGTGCAAGTGCTGCCCCGAAAAACAAAAAGCGGTTTTGATTACTTGAGGGCGAGGGGGCCAAGGATTCAAAACGGCTGGACCCTGAGATGCTCGCAAGGTCGCCATCATCAAAGCCGTCCTTGGTGGGAAACGAGCGACTCTTTCGGGCCGGGCTCCAGAATGCCGGGGTTCACAAACCCTGCACCCTAAACCCGTTCGCATCAGGCTTGCGTAGTCTCCCCCTAAACCCTAAACCCTAAACCCTCAAGCTTGGCCCATGGACTCATGGATTCCTTCCAGATCACAGCGTGTGGAAGGTTTCAATGTGCCAGACGTTTCACCAAGTATGTCTTACGCTTCAATGTCATCAGTACTACACGGGCTCATTCGCTGGGTGAAGTTCCCTAGTTCCCTTCGCAAATTCTCGCAGCTGCATAAAGGGTTTATAGGGGTCCAGAGGGTCCATTTCTAGCACCCTTCTGGAGTTTGGCACCCCAAAACCATACTGAAGAAATTGGGTTTTTGGTGCCTACTTCCAGAATGATACTACCAAGTCAACCCTGTGGGTTTAGGGTTTAGGGTTTCGGGCTTAGGGCTGAGGGCTTAGGGGCTTAGGGTTTAGGGTTTAGGGTTTAGGGTTTAGGGTTTAGGGTTTAGGGTTTAGAGTTTAGGGTTTAGGGTTTAGGGCTGCCAAGAAACCGCAGGCGGCGGGGGCGGGGGCAGGTCCGAGAAGTACTGCGCGCCTGCGCAGACGAAGACTTTAGGGTTTAGGTTTAGGGTTTAGGGTTTAGGGTTTCGGGTTGAGGGTTTCGGGTTTAGGGTTTAGGGTTTAGGGTTTAGGGTTTAGGGATGCGGGCCGAGGTCAATCCCTAGAGCCGAACTCATGCAGGCAGCCAGGTCCGCCCTTTTTAAGCCCTTCTGGCAGAATGTACTGAAAAACAAGTTTAGGGTTTAGGGTATAGGATTTAGGGTTTAGGGTTTAGGGTTTAGGGCTTGAACCCCAAAAGAAATGGTAAAGATGAGGGCAACTTGGCTGCACTCAGGAGGGTAGCTAGAAATTAAACTTTTAGCTGCCTTACTAAGAAACCCAATAAACCCAAAAAAGGTAAGGATCTAAAGTTACGGTAAAGTACCACAAAGGCAAATCCCGGTCTACCTCGATTCCTCAACGACAGCCTGAACCCGAAGCCACCCCGCGATGCCCTTTCACACCCCCGCACAGGCCGTGAACCCTACAGCCCTAAATCTGTTGAAACCGAAGCCTTCAGTCTAGAAAAAACCCTAAACTATTATAACCCCTCCCTACCACTATAAGGGACTGTTAGTATAGGGGGGAACATCCCAACCCAAACCCTAAACCCCAAACCCCTAAACCCCAAAACCCTAAACCCCAAACCCTAACCCTAAACCCCAAAACCCTAAAACCCTAAACCCCAAACCCTAAACTCCTAAACCCAAAACCCTAAACCCTAAAGCCCACAACCTTAGGGCGCATTGGAACTGCCACTGCACCTGACGTGTCGGCGGCATCCTGCAAGGCCTGTTTGAGGGTGATTAGGGACTCTTAGGGCTTTAGGGTTTAGGGCTTAGGGGCTTCAGGGCTTTAGGGTTTAGGGTTTAGGGTTTAGGGTTTAGGGTTTAGGGTTTAGGGTTTAGGGTTTAGGGTTCAGGGTTTAGGGTTTAGGGTTTGGGCTCTCTCACGGTCATCTCACGGGTGCCGGAGCATCGCAGCCTCGTGCAGTTAGCACGCCCCGAGAAAAAACACACTGAAACCCTAAACCCCTAAAGCCTAAACCCTTGTGCGATTTTTGAGGGGTGAGGCGGCTGAGGACTCAGGCAGAGGAGGGGTTAAGCGGGGTTTGTGGACACCTCCGGCCAAAAGCCTAGGGTTTAGGGTTTAGGGTTTAAGGGTTTAAGGGTTTAAGGGTTTAAGGGTTTAAGGGTTTAAGGGTTTAAGGGTTTAAGGGTTTAAGGGTTTAAGGGTTTAAGGGTTTAAGGGTTTAAGGGTTTAAGGGTTTGGTTTAGGGTCTAAATTTTAGGGTTGAAGGTTTAGGGCTCAGGGTTCGAAGGGGCTTCCGAAGTGCCCCACCTCCTGCAGTGAGCCATCCTCGAGCTTGGAGTACATAGCCAGGCGCACCCTGGCGGGTACTGATCCCTAAACCCTAAACCCTAAACCCTTTTTTTGGCGCTTCAGGGTTTAGGTTTTACGTAGGGTTTAGGGCTTAATTGGGGCCACTTCAAACGCCAAACAGCTAACCCAGCCTTTGATTCAACGCGGTTTCGGGTTTAGGGTTTAGGGCTTAGGGTTTAGGGTTTAGGGATTAGGGTTTAGGGTTTAGGGTTTAGGGTTTAGGGTATAGGGTTTAGGGTTTAGGGTTTAGGGTTTAAATTAGGGTTTAGGGAAAGATCCAGCTCCTGGCCTGTCTTTCAGAGATCCCAGCTCCTCTTCCTGGCAGAACATGGGCGGTTTCCGCAAATAGGGGTTGCACCCCTTTGTTTTCAGGAAGCGGGCGGGGGGGGGGGCTTGCCACAACAAGGCTTTAAAACCTGAACCCTTTTTGAACCCAGACTCTGCACGTCAGCTGGCACGATGACAATTGCATGGACGTACTTCCCCTGAACCCTAAAACCTAAAAACCCTAAACCCTCACCCTAAACTAGGATCGGGTGCTTTGGGGTTTTGGGGCTTTGTGAAATTAAGCTTTATACGGGAGGTTCAGTTCAAGCAACTCAATCAATTGCGCCAATGGCCCTAAGGCCCTTAGACCCTAGGACTGGGATGTCCCTTATACTAACAGGGTTTAGGGTTTAGGGTTTAGGGTTTAGGGTTTAGGGTTTAGGGTTTAGGGTTTGGGGTTTAGGGTTTAGGGATTCTAGTACCCCCTAAGATCATGCCTATTAAGGACTGTTAGAAAAAGGGGGAACATCCCAACCTAAGACCCCAAATCCCTAAACCCTAACCCCAAACCCTAAACCCCAATAACCTAAGACCCCAAAAACCCTCAACCCGAAACCCCTAATAACCTAAGACCACCCTGAAACCAGGCTGCCTCGTTCCCCTCTGCAAGAGTCTCGAGCTCTTGGCGAGGCGTCGCCGTCGCCTCCCGCATCATCGCGGATAGCACCTCCTGGACGTGATGCCCCAAAGAAGACAGTAATATAATCATCTTGTATATACTGACACGTCCTTAATGGGGATTAAAGGAGGGGGTACTATAATCCCTATTAAGGACTGGAAGTATAAGGGTAGTACTAGAATCATCTAATCATCTAAGAATCTAATTATATTCTAAGGTAGTGGTATATGAATGTGCTTGACGAGAGGTGTAATCAATAATTGAAGAATTGAATGACAGTGATAGCATCAGTTTTGTTCGGGATTATAGGGTTTAGGACTTCGGGGTTTTGGGTCCCGGGTTTCGGGCAAGCTGGGCCTTTGGACAACCCAGCCCCCGTGGTTCTTCGTGGGATACGAGGGACTTAGGGCCCTACATATACTCTTTTTGGGATGACATAGGGTACCTCATTCCCCCATCCCCTACTCAGAACCAGCCAGCCAAGCTTGCCGGGCCTGTGATAAGTCTTCACTCCCCTCCGTCGTCACTATGCCCGAGAAGACCTGGCGCCAAGGAAATACCCGACTTCCTCCGCCCGAGCGCGCGCACTGGGAGATTCATGTGGGTACTTATAAGTATAACCTGAAATTCATGTGGGCATATCTGTAGGGTAACTAGGCTATCACCCTATTTAGGCCCTTAGCACCCCGTAAGAACCCAATGAAGCTTCAAGTCGCCACCCCTCTGCGTGGAGCTCATCAAGCTTGGGCTGCGACGCTGAGCAACGAGGTGCGGCTCTCACCACGTGCCTGCAATGACCGCCCCGGAATCGTTTAGGGTTTAGGGTTTAGGGTTTAGCGTTTAGGGTTTAGGGTTTAGGGTTTAGCTTTTAGGGTTTAGGGTTTAGGGTTTAGGGTTTAGGGTTTAGGGTTTAGGGTTTAGGGTTTAGGGATCAGAATGTCGAAGCTTGGTGGAACAACAATCTAAGGAACAACCTAACCCCATACCCCTTAACCTATAAAAGGAGAGAATATAAGCAAGGATTCTACCAGACCCCTGATTGAATACCTTCTTAAGGCTATGACCCAAGGGGTATGTTGAACGTTCCTTCGAAACAACTGGCCTCTGCCGCCGACAGCACCGAGGTAAGGATGGGAAACAGCTGGTCCTGGCATTTCCGAGCTGCTTGTGACAGGAGAGATGCCCAAGTCTATACACCTCAACTCCAGGGAGTACTTCCCAAACCACACACTGGCTGAACCCTAAACCCTAAACGCTAAACCCTAAACCCTAAACCCTAAACCCTAAACTAGGTGAGAAGGGACTTCGGGTTTAGGATGTCGGGTTCCCTGGTGTGATGCGGCCCTCCCAACCCTCTCGGGAGCGCACGGAGTCTGCAGTCAGCCTGAGACAGAAAAATCCGCCAAAGACCCCCCCGTGCCCTAAACCCTAAACCCTAAACCCTAAACCCTAAACCCTAAACCCTAAACCCTAAACCCAATTGCAATCAAAGGGTGAGTTCAAAAAGTGTGGGCACTGTCGCGCCCTCCTGGGGCCTCAAATTGCTGTATGTGGCAGAGGAGTTCATGGAACGAAGAGACTCCATTTAGCTCAACCTCCACATACTGCATAATGCCCTTGAACCCTTGAACTTTTCCAGGAAGCGCGCTTGAGAAACCCCCATGTCTCAAGCAAGGCTCAATACCTCTCCACCCGAACCTCAAGGGTCCTTACTTCCGATGACCTACGAGACATTTTCTGGCAGTTTGCCGTTCCTCCCCATTAGGGACTTAGGCTTCCCGTTCCTCCCGTCGAGCTTCTTGCCCTGAAGCCCCCCAAAGTCCCCCCCTTCACCCTGAACCCTAAACCCTTCTTGCCTCAGGGCCCCGGTCTATAAACCCTAAAGCCCTAAAACCCTAAACGCTAAACCCTAGAACCCGAGATCCTACATCCCTAACCCCAGAAGCTTTCGGGGTTCCAAGGTCTTGGCGTTGTGATTTGCTGCTCTGCGATGGCCAACCGCAAGGCTACCTCCATGCAACTCGCTGCTCTCTTTGGGGCTGCAGACTTCGGGCTGGGTTGTAGCAGCCGGAGGGGTTTGGGGTTGTGGGCTTAACATCAATTTCGGTTTGGGGTTTACATACTTGGAGGTGCATGGTACTTATTCACCAATTATACCTGTACTTAAAACCCACCCATAAGCCCCTTTAAGTGCCCTAATATGGAGACATGTACAGTCATACGTACAGTTTATAATCGGTTAATAATTCGGTACCATGAACCTCCAAGTAGGGTTTTGGGGCTCGGGGTGGCCGCACGCGTTTCCGTCCTTGCCTCGTGCGGCTGGAGGTGACGCGTAACGTTTAGGGTTTAGGGTTTAGGGTTTAGGGTTTAGGGTTTAGGGTTTAGGGTTTAGGGTTTAGGGTTTAGGGTTTAGGGTTTAGGGTTTAGGGTTTAGGGTTTTTCATACGGTGGTCTGGGCTTTGTGCTTCTCACGTCTGTCGACGAGTCGCATTTGCATGATTGATTGTCGTATGGGAAATTTGTAAGTTTCATGACCACATTATGCCGTTTGTCACGATAAGCATAGAATCACGAAAATGCCTACATTAGAGTTTGCACGTGAAATTAAGGTCCACGGGGGCCCCCGATGGCTTTTTGCTTTGTTCGCGTTTTGAGGAGGTTTGGTAAGGGCATCGGCGGAATCCGAAACCCTAAACCCTAAACTCTAAATCCAATAAGACCTAAACCCCGAATCAAGGGTGAAGTTTCGGAAAGGCCTCCTCCAGTGCCGACAGGATCTCTTCATCCGTGGCAAGGAAGGTGTCCATGTTCGAGATCCGGAAGTAGCCCTCTACCTCATCAATGGCTATAGCATGCTTGGGTTGAGGCCGGTGTCTCTGAAGCCCGCACTGATTGGCGTCATGCTCCAGAATCCCTAAACCCGAAGCCCTAAACCCAACACGGTTAGCCCAGACCCCCTCAAGCTGCTGCATGCCATGCACTGTTTTTTGCGGGGCAAATTCTCCGTCTTGAGGACAATGATCTCAGCGTTTGGGGACGCGGCCTTTTGCCCAGAGGCCAGCGTGGAGACGGGCTCCACCTGGTGCCAGTGTCTCTTGGGTGTTTGGGGTTGGGATGTTGCCCCTTATACTAACAGTCCTTAATAGGGATTATAATAGGGAACACTATAATCCCTATCAAATAAGGACTGTTAGTATAAGGGGGAACATCCCAAGTTTGGGGGGTCTTATAACCGCCATAGTATGCCATTCGAAGGCGTCTTTAATGGGACCCATTCTGGGCATCAGGCGACAGGGCTGGAGGCCGAGGTTCTAGGCTGGGAGGAAGAGCGACGATCTTCAGGTCTTGTTTCGACCCATGAAGCCCTTAATGCCCTCAAGGAGGCCCTTACAGCCTTCCCCGACACCCCCCCCCCCCACCGCCTTCCCACAAAAAAAGAAAGCGCGCACCAAAAGCAAAGAAGAACCCAAAAAAACAAAGCGGAGTTGTAGCCACATAGCAATGAGGACACGGCCCCATTACTTTGTATGCCATTCCCGAACCTGAATGCACCCCCACCACCCGAATGTCAACTCCTATAATAGTGTTCCCTTATGGTCCCTCTATAATTATACTAGAATACCCCCGCCAAAAGCCTACTTCTAACTTCTAATTATTAAGGGCCCGATACTAAAACTCTCAAGCAACCCCAAACCCCAATCCAAAAGGTTCGCAAGAACCCTAAACCCTAAACCCTTTTGCCTAAACCCTAAACCCTAAACCCTAAACCCTAAACCCTAAACCCTAAACCCTAAACCCTAAACCCTAAACCCTAAACCCTGGCCACCTTCACACGGCGCAAGCCAGCCCATGACCTGCCCCCGAAAGGTGCGCGAGCGTGTTGGGCAAGAGCATGAGGTTTCGGGGTTTGGGAAATTTTGGGGGTTTAGGGTTTAGGGTTTAGGGTTTAGGGTTTAGGGTTTAGGGTTTAGGGTTTAGGGTTTAGGGTTTAGGGTTTAGGGTTTAGGGTTTAGGGGTTAGGGTTTAGGGTTTAGGGTTTAGGGTTTAGGGTTTAGGGTTTAGGGTTTAGGGTTTAGGGTTTAGGGTTTAGGGTTTAGGGTTTAGGGTTTAGGGTTTAGGGTTTAGGGTTTAGGGTTTAGGGTTTAGGGTTTAGGGTTTAGGGTTTAGGGCCAGGGTTTCGGGCTTCTCCCCCATGATTTGTAGGAAGGGCCGAGAATAGGCCGGGTTTTTTGGGCTTCAGGGTTGCGTGCTGCTTCTCGGGCTCCACGTTTTCTTACGACTTCCAGCTTTCAACCCTAAACCCCAAACCCCAAACCCTAAACCCTAAACCCCAAACCCTAGACCCTGAACCCTTTCTTCGACCCGTGGACTGAGGTCGGCGCCAGCACACTGATGCACACTTCTCTCCAAGACTCGTTGCTTGAGGAGAACCCTAAGCCCTAAACCCTAAAACGGCCGTAGAATCCTTCAACCCTGACGGGTTGGGAGGGGATCTTCAGGGTTTAGGGTTTAGGGTTTAGTGTTTAGGGTTTAGGATCTAGGCTTTGCGTCACACTCCAGCCACTATCTGTCACGCAACTAACCCAAAATGGCGTCGGGTTTAGGGTTCACCCTTGCGATTGAATGATGCGTTCTGTTCCCATATGGCAGATGTTGTTTCTGTGATAACGCTAGAAACTTGAACAGTTTAGAAACTTTCTTTGCCGTCCTGCTAGCATGGAGGTAGGGTGCAGGGCCTACTTTGGAGGTTCATGGGCACGTACAGTAGGTTCTAAGTAGGTCAACTACAGTTATAACCTTGTGTAGGGCCCTTCTAACCCTACTTACAAATGACAAGTACCTATGAACCTCCAAGTAGGGAATCTGGTAAGATGATACTTCATCATACCCGATGGTGGAACGCGTAGGGTCTGGCCAGCGCTGACTGCGAAAACCCCAAACCCAAAACCCCCCAAAACCCAAACCCCTAAACCCGCAGACCCCTAGACCCTAAACTCTAAACCCCTTGTGCAGCTGAAGCCCTAAACCCCTAACCCTTAACCCCCAACCCTAAAACCTAAACCCTAAACCCTAAACCCTAAACCCTGAACCTCCCTAAGCCCTTTCATGTCACCTCCAGCTTCCCGCCGCACTGCTGGGGTGGGACGCCTGGGCCACCAACCCGGGGCGCTGCTTAGGGTTTAGGGTTAGGATTTAGGGTTTAGGGTTTAGGGTTTAGGGTTTAGGGTTTAGGGTTTATGGGTTTAGGGTTTAGGGTTTAGGGTTTAGGGTTTAGGGTTTAGGGTTTAGGGTTTAGGGTTTAGGGTTTAGGGTTTCGCAAACACCCAAGGTTTAGGGCTCGAGCTTTTCGGTTGTTTAGGGTCTTTGCTGGTTTTGCTTGAAGGGTTTTGGGTGGAACTGGGAAATTTGCTTGTTCAGGATTTTGAGGATTTTGTTTCAGGGTTGAGGGTTTCCCTAAACCCTAAACCCTAGACCCTAAACGCTAAACCCTAAACCCTAAACCCTAAACCCTAAGAGATATAGTATCATGTCGGCACCACTCCGGTATCAAGGAGATCCAGGAGTAGCCTAGGAATAAACAGGGCACCCTTTTTGGTTTGAAGGGGATTCTTAGGGAACCTACACCCTAAAAGAAAGGGCCTACTCAGGGTCCTAGGGTAAGTTGTTGAACCCTAAACCCTAAACCCTAATTCCTAAACCCTAAACCAAGTGTTTGGGGGTTTAGGTTGGGTCGGCATGTGGGACGCCTCTGTCCGAGACTCTTCCTTCTACTTGAAGGCTCGTGGGTACTTATGAGTGCCCTAAATAAGATACCCTAAACCCTAAGCCCTAAACCCTAAACCCCAAACCCCAAAACCCGGTTGCCCAAGTTCCAGCCTTACCTGATAAGTACCCATGAACCTCCAAGCCAAGCCCTGCCACCTCCATGGCTGCCAGCCGCGGCAACTTCAGCAGCACACTGGCCTCGGGCCCGGCTACTGAGCTGCTATAGCTGGGTTAAGGGTTTAGGGTTTAGGGTTTAGGGTTTAGGGTTTAGGGTTTGGGGTTTGGGGTTTAGGGTTTAGGGTTTAGGGTTTGGGGGGAGAGGGGGAGCTTTGTAGCCCAGCAGCCATAAACTTTTTGGGCGGGCTACCTTTTTATAAGGAAACCCAGAAACAAAAAAATATGGAGGTCAAGAGCACCACTGTGTTACCAAGGGCGTGGGATGGTCATCGTGTCTTAAAGCCCACGAGAGGAAAGAGGCCCATCTTTACTGAGTAAATAGGGTGTAACAAACCCCGCCCATCTTAGTCTAGAGTTTAAGGTTTAGGGTTTAGGGTTTAGGGCTTAGGGCTTAGGGCTGAGGGCTGAGGGCTTAGGGCTTAGGCCTTAGGGCTTAGGGCTTAGGGCTTAGGGCTTAGGCCTTAGGGCTTAGGGCTTGGGGTTTACTTGTAGGTCGTAAGCCTCTTCTGGAGGTGGATGCGTGTGGGGACTGCAACCACGGATAGGATTGGGTTGATGTGGGCTCAAGCAGCCAAACCTTCACTGCGTCCGCAAGGGAGGTAGGTATCTACGGAACCTTAGGGAAGCTTACGGAGCTTCTGGGAGCAGTGGGGAGTAACCTTGCGTTACATACCACCCTTGAACCCTAGACCCTAAACCTTACATCCCCCCGAACCCCCGTCTTTGAAGGACCCTACAGAAGATGGTCAAGTCGACAGAACCGGCTTGGGCCCGGAAAGCTGTGCGGCGGAAGCCCAAACAACCGCAACAACACCAAAGGAAGCACACCAAGGGAAGCCCCTGGTTCTTAGTAGGGAATGAGGGAATTAAATAGGGTCCTATATATACCCTTTTAAGGGATTCTATAGGGTACCTCATTCCCTCATTAAGAAACAGCCAAAGGAAGCCCCCGGCGTGCAGGGCAGCGCCCAGACCTCGATACGGCGGATTCTTGAGGTTCGTTGGGGCTTAGGGTTTAGGGTTTAGGGTTTAGGGTCTAGGGTCTAGGGTCTAGGGTTTAGGGTTTAGGGTCCTGCATGGCTGACCTGACCCCGACTGTGGAGTAGACCCTGGAAAAAAGTATATACATTTTGGGTATTAAATATCTATAATGGGAATCCAGGACCAAAAGCAGTATTCAAGTATCGTACTCCAAAACCCAATGACGTCCACACAGCAGGTTTCAAGACGTGAAGTGCTTCGGGTTGACCCTCATAGCCGTTGCTTGGCGTCACCACGGCCCCCGTGCATCAGGCGGTCCGACTCATCATTGCAAGTGAAGAAGGTCAGCGCGCCAGTGGCAGCACAAAAATCGCCCATTGCCTTTTTGTGGGCATATGCCGCGGCGTGCCCTGCACGACTTCGGGTCGTGTGGGTTGCCCACATCAAGACCCGCAGCCGTAGCTGTCCTCTTCGCGGACATGAGCACCAAGCTTTGTTCCTCACAACAACCCTTTGAGCCACGTTGCTTGAGCAGGAGGGCTGTTCTTGCCACCCGCGCCTAGCTGTAGGGTTTTTGGGTTCAAGGCTTGCTTTTGCGGTTTCGGGCCTTCCTGGAAGCAGCGTGGTGCTGAGTTGTCATGACGCGCTTGTGGGGCCTGGGTTTTTACCCTAAACCCGAAACCCTAAACCCTAAACCCTAAACCCTTAACCCTAAACCCTAAACCCTAAACCGCCGGCAGCACTCCAAAGAAGCTGAGGCCAAGCACGGCCGAGGTCGGAGGTCAAGTAGCCCAATCGTTCCGAGACAGCAAAGGCCTTCTTCTGCAACCACACCAACGCACTCACACGCAGACAGTCCAGGAATGTCCAGGATGGGCTATTGGACCCCATAACCCCCTTAAAACAGGCCCTTTATAGGGTTGATTATGGGGATTACAACCCTAAACCCTAAACCCTAAACCCTAAACCCAAAGCCCATCCTGGGTTGTGAGGGGTTTCAGGTGAACCCCGTGTGCTGCGGTTGGCAGCCGCTCCGCCTGGTCCTGTCCGGGTCTGCGCCGCCGAAGAATCTCCGCGAGGCCGTCCAGGGCGCGAACCAGCATCCTGCTTTGGGTCATTTGGGGGTTTTCGACCATAGGGGGTACCCTTTTTGGGGATCCTATTAATTGGGATCCTTTTAATTGGGGAAAGACCCCTTCTTTCTTTTTCCAGGAAATTTCATCAAGGCTCATCTCTGGCAGACTCTTCATGGTCTTGCCTAAGAGTGTCTTACCACCTACCTGACAGCTGCAGGGATCAAGGGACGTTCAACAGCACATCACGAAACCGTGCATCTCACACAGGCCAGGCCTGTATGCTGTGTTTAACCCGTCGCCCGGAGCGACGGAAAGCACCGTCAGGTGTTCCTGGCAAGGTTGTGCCGCGCACATGAAGGCATTGGTTGGCGAAGACACTAGAGCCCTCAACCGCCACAACTCTCAAACCTGAAAGGCTCAGAAATAAGACATGTTGCGAGAATGGTCATGAACGAAGATGTTCGCAGTGTTAGTCCTGCTCAAAATGTGGATTTGGGAACCCTAAACCCTAAACCCACCTGGCGGTTCGTCCACAGAGCCAGGTCGCGGTCGGCGGACGCGAAGACCTCTCCACCAAGGTTTAGGGTTTAGGGTTTAGGGTTTAGGGTTTGGGGTTAGGATTTTTCTCTGGGGGGCCGGGGAAGGGTGGGCCAGAGGGGGCGGGGGGGGGGGGTGCGGGGAGAGAAGGGGGGGAGGTCATTTTTCAAATTTCTATGTGAGGAAGCGTGAAAACCCCCTATCCCGAAAGATGTCCCTGAAGTATTGTTAATATAGTTTTATCGAGCATGGATACTGTTCTGAACGTTATCGTTCTTTTTTGCTCTCATCGTTGTATCGAGCAACACGCACATCTGGTCAACTGGGGCGCTGCTCTTTACTTTTCAATACAAGGGGTTTTATCATCCCTCATGTGTTCTACAGGGATATATAGGGAGGAAAGTGAATTTGTTCGTCTCCTTCTTTCCCGGTAAACCTGTGCTTTCCTTATAACCCTAATAGACACAAGATCGTTCATACTACGAAGGAGGCCATAGTAACAGGGCGAACCATCAAAGACGACATTGTCTTGACTTCACCCTAAACCCTTAGCCCCAAACTCTAAATTTCGCTGGCAAAACATTCACAAAACCTTAAACCCAAGACCCTAAATCCCCAGACCCTAAACCCCTAAACCCTTTCAACCTTAAATCAAAACCCCCCCCCCCCCCCCCCCCCCAACACCTAGGGGCCCAAAGGGCCCCCCAAACCCCGAAACCCGAGGCGCCAGCCCCTCGGCCGTGTGGCCAGTTGTCAAAGCTTCCGCTGGCCTTGGGTTCGACTTTGGCAACTTGGGGGTGGGGTCCTAGGGTTCCAGGGTTTTAGCGGTCAGGGGTTTAAGGTTTTAGGGCCTAGGGTTTCAGGGTTTAGGGGTTTAGAATCTTAGGGTGTAGGGCTTAGGGTTTGAGGGTTCTTGGGTTTTAGCGGTTGAGGGTTTCAGGTTTCCGGGTTTCAGGATTGTAAGGTGTAAGGTTTAGGGAGAGCCGCTGATAGACGGAGACTCGGACCAGGCGGCGACACTCGGAGCCTTTTGCAAAAAAGGAGTTTAGGGCTTTGGGGTTTTAACGTTTAGGGTTTGAAGATTGCAAGGTCTAGCTTAGCATCTGTGGGGTTACCAGGATGGGCTATTAGACCCTCTAACCCCTGAAAAAGGCCCTTTATAGGGTTCATTATGGGGATTATATGGCCGAATAGCCCATCCTGGTAGCAGGGTTTAGGGCTCGGCGCAGAAGGGTTTAGGAGAGGCTCTTTGATTTCGGCTTCGAGTTTCTGGAGGGCGTCTCCAACACGCGAAATGATCAACTCCAAATTCAAAGCTGCGGTTTGGGGTTTAGAGTTTAGGGGTTAGGGGTTAGGATTTAGGGTTTCTGCTTAGGGTTTAGGGCTGCAAAAAGTTTTTGCGCCTTACAAGCCCTCAAGGCTGAGCCCTTTTTTTGGACCCCGCGAGCTCTGCCGTCCCAGCAGCCCTCATACCCTAAACCCTGAACCCTGAACCCTAAACCCTAAACCCTAAACCCTAAACCCTAAGTTTGTTTTTGGGGGGGTTCGATTACTCCCTGAAGCCCTGGCCAGCGCGGCTTCATCCTTTGGAAGGCCGAAGTGGAGCCCGGCCGCCTTGAAAGGGTTCAGGGCCTTTTTGGGCTTAGGGTTTAGGGTTTAGGGTTCAGGGTTTAGGGTTTAGGGTTCAGGGTTTAGGGTTTAGGGTTTAGGGTTTAGGGTTTAGGGTTTAGGGTTTAGGGTTTAGGGTTTAGGGTTGAGGGTTGAGGGTTCCCCAAATTTTTGTAGGCTTAACGTTTTTGGGTTTAGCGGGTTTTATAGGGCTTAGAGGGTTGAATAGTGTTTAGAGGGTTTAGAAGGTTTTTGCGCCTTTTTGGGTTTGGGGTTTTCGGGTTTGGGCTTCGCCTAGCCACTTAGCCGGATGTACCGTGCTGCAGGGTTTCGGGTTGACCGGGATGGAGAGGTGTCAGTCGCAGCCTTCATTGACGCTTGTGAATTAGCCCAACCCTTTTTTCCCCCTTACTCCCTAAGATTGAATACACCCAATATACTATAATACTACTATAAGGGGGTATTTCAAACGGGGGGGAGGGGGGTGGAGGGGGGGGTGAAATTTGGGGGGAGGGATTGCCCGGCATGGGCAAAAAAACAGTCGGGGTTCTGATGCGTCCGTGGAAATGGCCCCCAACTTAGAGAACTCCTCATAGCTATGGGGGTTTACGAAAATGGGCCCCCCCCCCTATTTTCGTAAACCCCCATACAGCACAAGACTCAAGTGGACTCAACTCTGAACCCTAGTTCCTGAGTAATCTGGGCCAAAGGAAACGGGTTACCTGCTCAATTATGGTAGGACCCTATATCCCCCAAAAGGTTACGGGTCACCTACACAGCAACTAAGGAATTCCTCCTTCCGAATTCAAGCAATCCATTTCGGAGCCAACAACCCTACACCTCCGCACCCAAAGAAGCAACTGCTCCCAAGGCATACTTTTTACTCTCTACATGAACCTGTGGCCCTCGAGGGCCCAGCTTCGTCCAGGGTTCGGCAACTTGGAACCAGCCTTCAGCGACCTACGACCCTTTCAGGTGGTAGACCATGGAACGATTGCTCAAACGGAATGGTGGCTCAGAGGATGGAGGAGTGATGCGCAGTGGACCGTTGAAGAGTTCGTCGCAGATACCGCCGAAGACGAGGTGGCGCTGCGAGGCACGTCACCGTGGCACGGGAGGCTCGCTGGGAGCTCCTCGGACCGAGGCCGCGGAGGGGTGCAACACCGCTTCCGCGGCCGCGGCTTCAGGAGCCCCCAGCGAGCCTCCATCAGAAAGATGCCGAGCACCCCCAGCTAGTTGCAGTCACCAGCCGGGCGCATCCTGCGAGCCGTGGACTGCGATGTGAGTCGTCCATCCCCAAGGACATGTCGTGCTCCAGCGCCGGACCTCGTCCCAAGATGTTGCCTCCACTGTCGTACCCGCCAAGAAAAAGGAGCAGCCTTCGGCATTGGAGCCACCACTCCGAGATCTACCAGGATGGGCTATTAAACCCTATCACCCCTTAGAACCCCCTAAGAAGGCCCTTTTATAGGATTGAGTATGGGGACTATTAGGCTGAATAGCCCATCCTGGCGCGACCCTAAGGGTGATGATTCACGGAATGGTGGCTGCTTCCTCTCATGGCTGGACAAAACGCGTGAGCAGGCGTGACTACTTGGAGGTTCATGGGTTTAGGGTTTAGGATTTAGGGTTTAGGGTTTAGGGTGTAGGGTGTAGGGTTTAGGGTTTAGGGTTTAGGATTTAGGGTTTAGGGTTTAGGGTTTAGGGTTTAGGGTTTAGGGTTTAGGGTTTAGGGTATAGCCCCTATGATAACTGTACTTAGAACCTACTTAGAGGACGTCTCATTCGGGTTCTAAGCACCCATGAACCTCCCAGTAGACGGATGACACTGAAGGGACATGGAGCCTGTGACATCCATCCTGCGGTCCCCGCATCAAAAGAAGCGCAGGAAACTCATCAAGCACTCGAGAACCAGCACAAGAGCCGAGCAACCTCCACACCTACTGTATAGGGTTTAGGGCTGCGATGTTCCCCGATGTACTGACATTAAGGACTGTTAGTAGAAGGCGGAACATGCCAAGGTTTAGGGTTCAGAGGGTTTAGGAAACACTCTGGGGGGGCTTGAGGATTCAGAAACGTTTCCAATCCAAAAAGACACCCGCCAGACCTTGGATTATCTCAAGCAACTTTTCTTCCTTAGAGAAGGCTGGAATGCGCTAAACCCCAAACCCTAAACCCGAGACCCTCAACCCTCAACCCTAAACCCTAAACCCCAAACCCTAAACCCTAAACTTTCTCTGGGGTTCCTGAAGGCCTTTCCAGCAAAGCTTGGCGGTGATTGTCCGATTCGACACGGGGATTTTGGGCTTAGAGGTTCGAGGCAAGGCTTCGGATGTTAGGCTTTAGGGTTTAGGGTTTAGGGTTTAGGGTTTAGGGTTTAGGGTTTAGGGTTTAGGGTTTAGGGTTCCAAGGTCTCGGGGCGACATTTTTGTGACATGGTGGCTGTCTGAGCGGCGCCGCGCTCAAGACAAAATCCCTCTTGCGCACGTTCGAAAACAGATCCCTAAACCCTGAACCCTGAACCCTGAACCCTAAACCCTAAACCCTAAACCCTAAACCCTGAACCCTGAACCCTGAACCCTAAACCATCCGCCCGCTGCTCTTACCCTCCATTCCTCTCGACCCGTGCGGCCGCAAAGCAAGCAATCAGGGTTTAGCCAAAACCCTTTTCCCTCAACACTAAACCTTGATGAAGGGTCTTGAAGTCCATGGTTCTGAACTTTGGTCTGCCGGGCCTGCAAACGCGCCTCCTCAAACTCATCCATGCCGCCTGGGGCATTTCTTGCGAGGGGTTGAGGGGTTGAGGGTTTAGGGGGCTTTGCGGGGGTTTTAGACGGTTTAGGGGGTTTAGGGGGGTTTAGGAGTTTAGGGTTGAAGGGTTGAGGGGCTTCAGGGTCTAGGGTTTAGGCTCACCACACAGCAGAGCATAACAGCAAGGGAGTCATGCAAAGTCCCCCCCCCCCTCCTCCCGGCCCGCGCCTAATCTCGGCGTGTAGCTGGTTGACTGCCGGAGGGGAAAGTACACACCTGGCGCGTGAGCAAGCGAAGCCTATGTACACCCTAAACCCTAAACCCTAAACCCTAAACCCTGAACCCAGTAAGGAGCCAACCCGGTAGTTGGTAGGCCCTATGAGGGGGGTACACCACAATACTATACTTGGGATGCATAAAGGGTCGTGCTCAGGATTGTTGGGTCCTCCTGGATCCTACCTTTTGCAGCAGGCCTGCAGAACGCCTGGATCCTACCTAAACCCTAGACCCTAAACCCTGAACCCTAGACCCTAAGCTCCAAACCCTAAACCTTGAACTAGACCTCCTGGCTGCTGGCTTTAGTGATCCGAGGGCCGCGAGTGGGTCACACTGGGAACGACAGGTTTTAGGGGGGGGGGGGGCGGGGGGGGGGGGGGCGGGGGGGGGGGGG